TCCCACTGGGGCCTCCGGTGGAGCCTTCTATGCGGACACGAAACGCTGTACTGGGTGGTGAATGACGCATGCGGGCGGTCCCACTGGGCCCTTCGGTGGAGCTCCCTATGGAGCCACGAAATGCTGTGCTGGGTGGTGGATGGCGCATGCGGGCAATCCCACTGGGGCCTTTGGTGGAGCTCCCTATTGGGCCACGAAACGTGTGAGGGGTGTGCCGAAATCGGAGACGATGATGACGATGATGGATGATGGTGATGATGACGTCGATGATGTTGATGATGATAATGGTGATGATGACGATGATGATGGTGATGGGAGGAAGGAGGAGGGGGAGGAGGAGGAAGGAAGGAAGGAAGGAGAACGCGGGGACCGTCTCTTCCAAAGGAGGACCCAACACCACAGGATGGTTGGAAATTTGCAAGAGTGTCACGGATGCCCATCATCAACTTACCCGAAAGGGCGTTTTGGAAGAATTCAGGACTACGCGGGCGCAACAAGTACGTTGACTCGCCGAGTTTAAGTCCTCGGAATGGCGATCGCCAAGACGCAACAGTCAGGTTGACCCGTGGCGTTGGAATCCCGAGAACAATGTTTTACATGCTTCAGGGTTTTTTTTAACGGGCGTCTTCCAACGAGGCAGTTCCACCAATGCAAATGAACCGCTGTAGGGGCCTATGACGAGGGAGCTTGGGGGGGTACTCCAACATCGTTGATGATTGTTGGGTTCACTCTGGTCCTCCTCCTCGTTATATCCCATATTCTTATTAGTGTGATAAAGTTATAATGGTTAGTGTTATTGTTGTTAAGGTTATTACTACTATTGGTCGTATGAATATAGCGATTCCTACTAATACTAAAAGTTGTATGCTTAGTAGATTGTTAGTATTGGCATCCTCAGTCTTGCTTTCAGCTATACCAGTGTTATTTCCAGTATTGATATTATTCATCCTCTTCCTCCTCCTCATCATCCTCCTCATCCTCCTGATCCACCTCCTCCTCCTCTTCCTCCTCTTCTGTCTATCATGATTTATATTCGTATTCCCGTATTACAAGTATTAAAAAGGTTGTCATAATAATACGAATTGTAATCATAATTTGGTAATACGAATAGTACAACTATCACGAATTACCATCATCATCCTTAGTCAGATTAATAGTCATACTAGAACTAGTACTGTCAGTATTATGAGTATCACTATCACGAATGTTCGTCTTACTCTTATTCATCGTATTATACGTGATCTTAGAATTATTATTCTCATGTGTATAAGTATTAGTAATAGTCGTCTTCTGTTATTCACAAAGTTATTCTTCTTACCGTTATCATTAGTGTTAGTATTCTTGTTCGTATTAATACTATGTATTCGCTTATTAATAATACTCTGACTCGTAATCGTATCATTCATAGTGTTGCTATGATTGGTCTCAGTCGTCTTCTTAGCATTACTTCTCTTATTGCACGCGATGTAATCGTCGTAGCAATTGCACTCGCCAAGCCCACGATAGGCGTCCTAGTCGTACTCGTCGTAAGCGGCGCGGCCGTTGTCGACCGGTATTTCCACGATGACGTACTGAGCAACCCTGTCGGGTTGCTCAGTCGGGTCGTTCCTGGTGTCGATCTTGGTTGCGCACTTGGTGTCGTAATGGTGGTGGTTCTCGTCTTCGGGCTCCCTGTCACGCAGCCCATTATCGGGCTTGGGCTGCCTGTTACGCAACTCTTGCTCGCTTCTGGGATGCCTGTTCCACAGCTCGTGCCTACATGCCCTCGCGAAGGCGGAGGAAGCAACGATAATGACGCTGTACCCCAGCTTTGGGGGGCCATTCTGTGGGGCCGCGTCTGTTCGCGCCCCTGCTCCTCTATGCTTGTATGGTCTCGGTATGCTTGCCCGTTGGACTCCACCAGGGTGGATAGGTCTCGTAGCCTTCAAATATGTTGAAGATGTCCGACTTGATGATCAACAACTGGTGGTTGGTCGAATCCACGCCATGGCGGCGCCCGCTGCCCGCGGGCGCGTTTGGTGGGCTGCTGGCTGGCCCGCCAGGCGCGCAGCGCGCGCGCGGGCGAGTGCGGGGGATGGATCCCGCATATTCCTCCTCCTCCTCCTCTCATCCTCCTCCTCATCATCCTCATCATCATCAATCATCATCATCATCAATCATCTCATCATCATCATCATCATCATCATCATCATCATCATCATCATCATCATCATCATCATCATCATCATCATCATCATCACCACCCACCACCACCACCACCACCATCATCATCATCATCATCATCATCATCAGCATCATCAGCATCATCAGCATCATCATCAGCATCATCATCATCATTATCAACATCAACATCAACAGCATCAGCATCAACATCATCATTATCATCAACATCATCAACATCATCATCATCATCATTCTCATCATCATCATCATCATCTATCATCTATCATCTATCATCATCATCATCATCATCATCATCATCATCATCATCATCATCATCATCATCATTGAGCATCAAACGGCGGGGTCACTCTGAAGGATCCACATCGGCCAGGACGCCCGTCGGCGGATGGAGGAAAGTCTGCGCAACGGGATAGTATGGGTGAGGGGTGGGACGTAAAAAATGAGACGCGCGCGCACGCACGCACCTCGCTTGTCTGCGTCCTCCTCCTCATCATCCTCCTCCCCTTCCTCATCCTCCTCCTTCCCCTCATCCTCCTCATCATCCTCCTCCTCCTCATCCTCCTCCCCTTCCTCATACTCCTCCCCTTCCTCATCCTCCTCCTTCCCCTCATCCTCCTCATCATCGTCCTCCTTTTCCTCCTCCTCCTCACCCCAGAGGGGCGGCCCCCTGCCCGGGCCTTCACTTTGCCCGCGTGGTCGTCGCCGAGGTTCCACACCGTGTTGATGAGCTGCACGGGCCCGTCCCCGTCGATGTTGATCTCGCCAGGGCACATGCCCTGGGCGCGGGGCGGGGCGTCGGAGTACGCAAGTCGCAGCATGGCGAGCGACGCCATGCAAGCACGAGGCCAGACCTGCATCATATGGGGGGGCCGCGGGGGCGGGCAAGAGGAGTCCCCTGGAGGTGGCCGCGGAAAGCGGCGCTTCGAGGGACGGCGACAGTCTACTAGAGGGTCGCAAGCTCTGCGACGCGCAGGGGTCGGGAGGAAGAGGGGAGGGGCGGGAGGGGCGGAGCGGCGGGCCGCGCAGTTCGAATCGACTCGGCCAGCGGGCCCGTCCAGAACCACGGGCCGCGCCTGGGGCCCCCGAAAGGGGGCCACGGAGCACAGCTAGCAATGTTCGTACCCCCCGTGCCCGGCGACGCAAAAGCCACCACAGCCCCAACGAACCACCCAGGGAGGCGTGGAGGGGCGGGAGGGGCTGTCGAGACTTGTCAACGTTGGAGTTGGCGGAGGGGGGGGGGCACGAACCGCAACAAACAACAAGGTTTGGAAATAACCCCCGCGATATGGCACGGCATCCCCTCATCCGGCGGCGAGCCCGGGGGGGGAATGAAAAAGGGCGGGCCTTCTCAGACGGCTCGGAATTCCCCTGGCCTTTTCAGAAGTTGTATAAGCCTTCCCCGAAGACACAAATCCGCCGACCGTGTCGTGAATGAGGGGTTTGTCTGTTCGAGTCGTCGTTTCCGTCAGTCGTCGTCTCCATCGTCCCCCTTCCATACACCCTCCTCCTCAATCTTGCTAGCGAGAGAAAAAATCAAGCGATGTCGCAATCGAGTCCGAGGGAAGCCCCTTCCCTTTCCATTGGGAAAGGGGGGAGGTCCCGGGGTGTAGGGGAGGTAGGGGAGGGGGCGGGGGGGGGAGGGGGAGGGGGGGGGGGTAGAGGGGGGCAGGGGGGGGTTGGGGGAGTAGGGGGGGTGAGGGGGTAGGGGGGGTCAAGTTAGCCAGCTCGAACGAGCCAGAGGGCTCCGTCCACTCCCACCCGCCCCCCCACAGCATAAGAAGCAAGTACGTTGCGTCCGACGCCTGTCGTTCATCTTATATCGCGGGCGGCCAGACGTTCAGCGCGCGACATGAACAGCGTCATATTCCTGCCGCGTATTGACCAACGTCGACGAGGAACAAGACCGCGCGCGATGTACGCCGCGCCCCGTTCCGGCCTCTCATGTTGCATCGTCGGCGACAACATGTCCAGCGCGCGAAGCGCGCCGCGTCTGATTCCACCCACGCGTGTTGCACCGCCAATCGTTTCACTCCTGCCGCGCATGGAGGAGGAGGAGGAAAAGGATGAGGAGGAGGAGGAGGAGGCGGAGGAGGAGGAGGAGGAGGAGGGGAGGGAGAGAGGGAGGGAGGGAGAAACTGAGGAGAAAGAGGAGAATGCCTCTTGGGAATTCGCGGGGCGTCCTGGGAATTTTCTGGTATACGCCTGGGGGTCTCTTGGATATCTTCCGGGTTGGAACATTGTCAATTCAAGTAGTGCTAACCTCACAACCCTTCAAACACCAAATGAATGTCAATATTTGTGTTGCCCGCCAGGACCTCCTGGACGCCTTTTTTCGACCTCCTGGGGGTCTCCTGAGGCACTTGCTCGAACCGCACTTGCTTGATGCATTATGACTTGCTACCCGCCCAGCTCCTCAACCCGACGGGCCGCCCGCAGCGTCGACGACAAGAAAGCCCACGTTGACGAGCAAGCGTCCCCGCGCGATGTGCGCCGCGTCCCATTCCCGCTACGCGATTCGCAGCGCCGATGAGGAGAAAGTACCTGTTGGCAAGAAAAAACGTCGACGTTGCTGTGTTTTTGACAGGTAGGACGGGGGGTCCCGCGTAGGGTTGGCCAGGCGTCCGCGCGCGATGTGCGCCGCGTCCCCTTCCTGCTACACTTTTCGCAGCGTCGACGACAAGAAAGTCCATGTTGACGAGAAAGACGTTGAGTTTGTATTGTCTTTGGATGGCAGGACGCTACCACCCGCTTGGGGTTACCCAATCGATGCTCAGTCCATCAAACTATTGCTACACTTTTCGCAACCCGACGACATGTTGGCGAGAAACAAATCGAGTTTGTGCGGTTTGTTGCCAGTTCGGACGGCGGGGTTGCTATCGGCCGGCTAAGTGGGGATGTGGGGGTGTTTATACCATAGGAAGTAAGGATAAGGGGGGGCTAGGGGGAGGTAGGGGGGGTAGGGGGGGTAGGGGGGAAAGGGGGAGCGGGTCAGACACGCATCCCTCAGAAAGTACCCAAGACAGGCCCAGAGTGGCCTAAGAGGCCCCCGAGACGGTCCAAGAGGGTTCCCAATCGCCAAACGATCAGTCCAACACGCCTTTACGCCCTCCAGACTAGACTGCCCAGGAGGCCTCCAGGACGCCCCAAGAGTACTCCAGCGAGTGCACCAAGAGGCCGAGTGCATTGATTTCCCGTTGGTTGTTTCAGATTTGGGCGTTCTCGCCGGTTCCACTTCCCGTCGCTCCAAGACGGCGCAAGAGGCCCCCATGATCGCCCCAAGACGACCCAACAGGACCCCAAGAGGGCCAAAAAATATCCCAACAGGACCCCAAGACAGCCCAAAACGCCTCCAAGACGGCCCAAGAGGCCCCCTAGACGGCTTCAAGAGCTCTCGGCCCCGAGAGGCTCCCAGGAGGCCCCAAGAGGTTCCCAAGAGGCCCCAAGAGGACCACAAGAGGACCCCAAGAGGCTCTCAATAGGCCACAAAGAGGCTCCCAAGAAGCCCCAGAATTCCTCCCCAGAGGCCCCCGAGGCATCCCTGAGGACTCTGGCCCAAGTCAGCGTCGTGGTCGTCGTCGTCGTCGCCGCCGCCGCCGCCGCCGCCGTCGTCGTTGTCGCCTCCCTTCAGGGACGGCGGCACCGGCCGTACGGCCTTCGCAATAACTTCTCAGAAGGCGCGAAGGCGTCTGAGAAGCCCCGCCGCCTTCTGAGAGAGCCTTCTCCTTCTCACGTCCCCCCCTCGCTCGCCGCCGGAGGGACTGCTCACTGCTGGGACTGCTCACTGCTGGGACTGGCGGGAGGGGCACGGCCGCCGTGGCCCCAGAGGGCCTGGCGCGGCCCCACATCCCAGCGCAGGCTGGCCCTGCTAGGACGGTGAGCAGACGAACCACCAAGGCGGAGCCTCCCGGCCTATCTCAGGCCAGGCGGGCGAAGCCATGTTCTCTCTCTCTCTCTCTCTTCTCTCGTTCTCCTCTCTCTCTCTCTTTCTCTCTCTCTCTCTCTCTCTCTCTCTCTCTCTCTCTCTCTCTCTCTATATATATATATATAGAGAGAGGGGGGGAGAAAAAAACGCATGATATGATCAAGATATATATATAGAGAGAGAGAGACACTCACACACACGTATGGAATTGTGCATGTATGCGATGTATGGCTTTGCGTTGACTGTGTACGCATGCATGCATGCACGCATGCATACATGTTTTCAGTTATACATACATATACAAATATAGTATGTCTGTATACACACATACACACATACATGCATGCATGCATGCATGCATACCTACAGACATACATACACACCTATACACACGTGCATACATGTATAAATACATACATGCGCAGATGCATGCATACAAACATACACACACACATACGTACGTACGTATATACATACATACCCGTATACATGCATAACATACCATACCATGTCATACGATACCCGACCATGCCATGCCATGGCATGCCAAGCCAAACCATGCCATGCCATGCCATACCATACCATACCATACCATACCATACCTACATACAGACAGACAGACAGGCAGCAAGACAGGCAGGCAGGCAGGCAGACGGACAGAAAGACAGACATGCATGCCTGTATACATGCATGCATGGATACGTACAGCATACACAAATACATACATGCATGCATGCATACATGCATGTGCAACAACATACCTACATAATGCATGCATAGATACGTGAATGCATGCATGCATGCATACATATATACATATACATGTGTATATACACACGCACATACAGACGTACATACACACACATAGACATACATACAAGTAACACAACACAACACGCCACACCACATCAGACAACACCACAACACAACGCAGCACAACACGCCATCACACAAGAAACTGTATACATACACACATGCATACATGCATGCATGCATGCAGGCAGACAGACATACATACATATACACATACACATGCATGCATCACACTACACTACTCTACACACAACACGGCCTTACATATACATACACCTAAACACATGCATTTACAAAAACAGGTAAATATACATGTACATATGCATATACATATGCATACGCGAATGCAAATATCAAGACATGTACATGTACCTGTACATATATACATGTCTATACAAATGCACATACATATTCGTATACATACACATGTACGTAAACATAGAGACAGACAAACTGACAGACGGACAGACAGACGGACAGGCAGACATGCATGCGTACATGCATACATACATGCATACATATACACATACATGCACACATATGTGTACACATACAGATATTCCTCGATCGTACAGAACTACATCGGGAACCTTCCCCAACGAGATCCCAGAAGGAGGGGGGACCATCACGCCGACACACAACCGAAAACGGCCAATTCCATAATCGCCGTGTCAGGGTAAGAGGTCTGTCCACCCCGATGCTTCTCTCCCCTCCTCCCCCAAGACGAAGCCAGGACGAGGAGAAAACCGGGTGAGGGCAAAGCGAGACTCTCTGAGATCCGGCAGCTCTAGAGGATGTCTCGGGCGCCGTGGCCTTCTCGAATAGTCCCGGAACGCTCTCGGAGCGTTCCAGAACGCTCAGGAATGGCTTTGTCCTCGTCCTAGCCCCGTCCGATCCTTCCCCCCCTTCGCCAGGCAGCAAACACTGCCCAGCAGCAGCGTGGAGCTGCTAGTGTCGTCGTCCTACATGACGCGGTCCCCACTCCCCCATACCCCCCCCCCCTGCGCGCCCCCACCAAGATAGCCCCAGAGAGGGCGTCGAAGCTCACAGACGGGCCCCAAGAGGCTTCCAGGATATATCCAAGAGGCCTCCAGAAGGCTCCCAAGTGGCTGTAGACTAAGTGTCGGTGGCCCTCTCGTTTCACTCACTGTATTCTCACCGACTTAAGTTCTCACGAAAGTTCGCCTGGGCATCGTTTTTGGATGGACTCCTCGAACACGAGAGGCGGAAACAATTACATTCGTCCTTCCACCTTTCGGGGGTCAGCGAATTGCATGCACCACTTAACAAGACAGATCATCGTGCTCACATCAGCGGGAAAAAAGAACTCCACTCAAGATGTCGGGACACAAACAGGCTGTGAGGATTGGCGTGGCCTCCCTGGAGGTGGAACTCGTGGAGTGGGAGGATCCCTCGATAGGACATTCGGCTCTGCTGGGGCTGGTAGAGCTTGAAGGCACGATCCATGATAACAGAGAGCAATACGTTTGCAGGAGAAGGGAAAAAAGAGAAAGAAGGAGAAGGAGCGGGGGGATGGTCTGGGAAAACACCAGCATGCTCGGAATCATACTTCTAAGTCTCACAGCAAGAAGTAAACCGTTGGAAAAACACAGGGATTATTCAACATATAATTCGTGGATCGCATAACGCTTCGTATGTTCAGCGGTTCTGTAGACAAGCATCGGAGTATGCTTAGAGTGACTTTGAGTAGTCTATGGTTCAATCATCTGGTCAAAAACTGGTACAAATAGCATTCCGTGAACACCATGATTCAAGTTATGTGGTTCGAAGGTCACACTGAAGAAACACAAGGAGAGAAAGAGTGGCAGTTCGGGGAGACGTAAGACTCGGGTACAGGAGACTCGGGTTGGCCTGACGGGGGCCTCGTGAAAATGACGAAATCCAATCTGAAATTTGACGCGGGCTCCCGCTGCAGACATCCAACGAAAACCGGACCGTCAAAATCCTAGACGCGCTCGTCAAAAAACTTCGGCTAACCCGAGTTCCGGCTTACTCGAGTCTTACGGCTCCCCGAGCAGTGGGAGAGGGAAGGAAGGAGCGGGAGATGGACATGTGAGGGCGGGGAAGAAGCGTAGGGAAGGGGGGGGAGGTTTGGAGGATGCCGAAATGGTGGGAGCAGAGACGGACGCGAGGGAGGGAAAGGGGACCGGCAAGGCAGCAGTGAGCCGCCGGTGCCTTGATAAGATCCATCACCTCCTTATCGCTCTTCTTGCTCTTCTTGCGAATGTCGTTCACCTGGGCGAAGGCAGAAGCAAGCAGAAGGCACCCAGCTCACGCACCGCCGCCACGCCTGGCCAAGGCCATCCTGGGCCCTGGCATGGCGTGTGCGCCCGCTCGGCCACAAGAATCCCCAGTGGGTGAGATAGGCAAGGGAATCAACCCCATCTGAACCCAGAACCTAAACCTCATCCTCCTCCTCCTCCTCCTCCTCCTCCTCCTCCTCCTCCTCCTCCTCTCCCTCCTTCCCTCCAGCATAGACACGACGCGTCATGCGCACCACAATCAGAACCAAAACAAGGTAATAGGAACGGAATGGCACCACCCTTCCTGCCGTGCCCAGTGATACTGCCGCGTGCGCTGTCGGGAGGGGGGCGTGCGGCATCACAATCCTGAACTGTCTCCAGGCGCGGCGCGGGGGATGAGAGGTCAGGGACTATCCCTATCCGATCCAGAGCCCCTATCCAGCACACCTGGCGGTCGACGACGACGACGACGACAGCTACGACTACGACAACGACTACGACAACGACTACGACTACGATTACGACAACGACTACGACTACGACTACGACTACGACCACGACCACGGCGGTGGTGATGATGATGGTGATGATGGTGATGATGGTGATGATGGTGATGATGCTGGCGTTGATGCTGAATGATGGCGATGATGATGACAATGATGATGATCATTAGTATGATGATGTTGATGATGATGATGCTGGTAATGATGATGGTGATGATGGTGATGATGGCGGTGATGATGATGATTGACGACAATGGCGACGATGATGATGATGATGATAATGGGAGGTAGTGATGGTGATGCTGATAATGATGACGACGATGATGATGGTAGTGATGATTATGACGACACTGATGCTGATGATCATGATGGTGAGGGTGTTGAGGATGATGATAGTGATGAGGATTATGAGAATGATGAAAATGATGAGGACGAGGACGAGGACGAGAATACTGATGCTCATATTGATGCTGACGATGATGGTGATGGTGATGATCATGTTGATGATGATAATGATGACCATTATGGTAATTATGATGATGGTGGTGATGGTGATGGTGGTAGTGATGATGGTAGTGATGATGATGTTGGAGACGAAGACGAGAATGAGAATGATGATAATGATGGTCAATATGATGAGAAGAATGATCATGATGGTAACGATGGTAATGATGATGATGCTGATGATGCTGATGATGATGACGATCATGTTGATTATTATGATGATGGTGATGATGATGACGATGATGGTGCTGATGATGGTGCTAATGCTGATTATGATGATGACGGTGATAGTGATGGTTGTGATAATGATGATGACAATGAGAAAGCCGGTGATGATAATGATGATAATGATTAGAATGATGATAACGATGATGATGATGATGATGAAGATGATGATGTTGATGGGAATGATGACGATGATACTGGTGATGGTGATGATGGTGCTGATGCTCATTATGATGATGACGGTGATAGTGATGGTGATGCTGATGGTGAGGATGGCAATGATGGTGACAATAACAACGACGATGATGCTAATGATGATGATGACGGATGACGATGATGGGGATGATGACGATAATACTGGTGATGATAATGATTATAATGATAATGATGGTGATGATGATGATCGCGATGACGATGATGGAAGTGATGGTGATGATGCTGGTGATGATGGTGATGATGAGGATGATGATGCTGGTGCTGATGCTGATGATGACGATGATGGTGATGATAATGATAATGATAATGATGCTGATGATGATAATGGTGATGATGGAAAAGGTAATGGTGATGATGAAGATAATCATGGTAATTGTGATGGGGATGATGATGGTGATTATAATGATAATGATGATGGTGTTGATGATGATGACGAGGACGATGATGGTGGCGGTGATGATGGTGATGGTGGTGATGATGATGATGCTGGTGCTGATGCTGATGATGACGATGACGATGATGGTGATGATGGTGGTAGTAATGATTATCATGTCGACGATGATGATGATGATGATGATGATGATGATGATGATGATGATGGTGATGATGGTGATGGAGAGTCCCCCAGCGCGGTTCGTCAGGACACAACGAATAACAACATCAGGAAAGCTCACAAGAGAAGCCTGCCTTCATCCAGTGAACTTGGCAAGTTTGCCTGCAAGGGCCCCAAGGACGACGAGGAGGACCATGAGGACGTGGCCAGGCGTCTTTGGACATCTGTGAAGCACGACGGAGTTGCGTCCCACATCAAAAGTTTAAGAGGAGATGAGCTGGCGGTTCAACACAACAAGCATGGCCGCACACTTCCCATTACCAGATCGTGCTCGAAGTAAGGCAGCAGCATCGGCAGCAGCTGCGACGAGCCTTCTTGTCGTCGTTCGGCTGGTCCTTGGTGCGAATAGAACTGGACACCATGGAGACGCTTGGATCGACTGTGGTGGTCTTGACAGTGGTCGTCTTGACCTTGGACGTCCTGACGCAGCCGACGCACGCAGACAGGGAAATGAGAGGCAGAGGCAGAGGCAGCAGAGGCAGAGACAGAAAAACGGACGGAAAGAGACATAGACAGAGACATTCAGAGAAACCTGACCAGACAAGAACGGGAAGCGCGACTTTTGTCCACCTTGTTCGTCAGCGAACCCCTGGCTGAGAACTTCACAGGAACTCAGAAACGTAGCACAGCATGCAGAGGCAGAGACAGAGGCAGGGACAGAAGAACGCGCGGAAAGAAACACAGCCAGGAACGGGCAGAGAGATTCGCTCCTGGGCCGTGGGCACCCAGTTCGCTCGGGTTTCCCTGCGATCTCTGCATGTTCGGGGTCCCAAGAACCGTGAGGTGACAGACCGCGCGCTGACCTCGAGACCCCAAGAGAGACCTCACCGCGCGGTTCTGGGACCCGGGAGGCCCTGGTCGCCCGAGACGTCCTCGACGAGCAACCCGAGCCTCCAGAAGTGTGCGGTCACCCCGAATCCCCACTGACTCACCACACGTTATGGGCACCACAACGTTCGGGAGCCGCCGAGCAATGGGCACCGTGAATCTGGAGCGGTCTGAAACCCCAGTAACTGGATCTCCTGGGGCGTATCGCGAGACTTCTGCCGAGGTCAAAGCTCATTGAAGGACAACGCGTTTGTCTGTTCGGGCCTGGAGGGTGGCACCACGAAGGGGCACTGGGCGCCCTGACCCGCCCGAGGGGACCAAGACCGCCAACATGCCACCACGAGATCCTCAGAGGCCCCCTGGGACTCCCCCGAGAGGCCCCCAAGAGAGACACCGAGAAGGCCCCCAAGTGGCCCGAAGGGGACTTGAAGAGGCCCTCAAAGGTCTCCAAAAGAGCACAACAAGAGGCATCACGAGGCATCCAAAGGGACTCTGACCCCAACCCAGGTACAGTGGCGGGATGAGCTAGAGGCCACTACATCCGCCGCCACCTAGCTACCGGAGGGTCGTTAGCTTGCCCAAGATCCTGCCCTTCAAAGAAGTTCCCGCCGAACCCGCCGGCCACGTGGAAGAGACCGGAATTACCCGAGACGTACCAAACCCCTTCTCCACGCGAGGCAGATATTTCTATGAACGCTCCATACACAAGAACACATCGCCACACGTGCACGATCTTCGCTGACTTTATCTCCGCCGTGCCTCCCAAGAGCCCACGAAAGTAGCGACGTTTGCGCACTTCTGCCCACGGAGCAGCGAGGCCTCGACTGGGTCCGCGTGGCCCCCCACTCCGGTGGAGCTCCCAGGAGCTCACGAAACTGTCAACAAGTGCGCAGTTCGCACCCACCCAGGGATCAGCGAGGTTACTGTCTGGGTGCGCGTGGCCCCCTGACCCCGCTGAACCTCCCAGGAGCCCACGGTAGCGGCGACGGTTCCGCAGTTCGCAACCACCCAGTGAGCAGCGAGGTCTCGTCTGGGTCCGCGTGGCCCCCGACTCTGCTAAAGCTTCCAGGGGCTCACGAAAGTGGCGACAGCTGCGGAATTCGTAATCACCCAGGGAGCAGCGATGTCTCCAATAGATACGCGTGGCCCCCGACTCCGCTGGACCTCCCAAGAGCCCGCGAAAGTAAAGACAATTGCGCAGTTCGCAGTCGCAGCCACCCAGGGAGCGGCGAAGTCACGGCTGGGTCCACGTGGCCCCCAACTCCGCTCAACCTCCCAGGATCCTACGAAAGTGGCAACGGTTCCGCAGTTCGCAGCCACCCAGGGAGCAGCGAGGTGTCGGCTGGGGCTGGATGGAAGAAAGGAACAAGGGCAAGGGAGGAGGATGGAGCACGAGAGAAAATAGCAGGAGGGGGGTTGCAGGAGGGGGGCTTGAAGCAGAAAACACGTGGCAGGACCAGACGGACAGATCGGGCAGGTAGACCCTAACGGGCGGGTCTGGTAGGCGGGCTCTGGCGGCCAGGTCGAGCAGGCGGGATGCTGAACCGTGCGCCCTGCATGAATCTCGAGGAGATCTCGAGCGATAGCACGATTCCCACATAAATCGAAAGAAAAAGCACAGCGAGAGCGTCATTCCTGAGTGTCGAGCAGAGGGGGGATGAACCATAATCATTCTTCAGTTGTGAAAGTTCAATACGAGTAACAACAACAACCATAACAAAAGCAACAATAACAGCAGCAGCAGCAACAACGCCAACAATAATGACAACGTCAATAACAACATGAACAACGTGAACAACAACAACAACAACAACAACGACAACAACAACAACAACAACAACAACAACAACAACAACAACAACAACAACAACAACAACCACTACAACCACAACAACAACAACAACAACAACAACAGCAGCAGCAGCAGCAGCAGCAGCAGCCCTCCTCCTCCTCCTCCTCCTTCTCCTTATCCAACTCCTCCTCCTCCTCCTCCTCCTCCTACCCTGTTCCATCCTCCCTCCCGGCCTCGCCCCGTCCCACCCCCAGTCTGGGAGTCCTGCTCTCCACCTTCCGGAAGGCGGTGTAGTTCCGGCTGTCGTCGACCTTCGGGGGGCAAGGGGAGGGAGGAGGAAAAAGAAGCAGCCGAACCCGTGACGGTGCCTGGATCCGCGTACCTCTCTCTCTCTCTCTGTATCTCTTTCTAACTATATATATAGATGTCTATATAACTATGTAAAGTGTCTGAATGTATATACCTATATGAATGTATATGAATACACATAGGTGTCCCTATATACATTTGTATGTGTATATATATATGCATACATGTATATATATATATGTATATATACAAATATCGATATATGTATATAAATTTAAATGATATATGCATAGATCGCATGCGCACACGTGTTCTATGGGTCGGGGACACTCGTTCGGCATTCAGGTGAGTTCAGCGAGGCGAGGGCAGGGGAGCGAGTTAACTTCCAGGTCTGTACACGGACAACCATGCACACGCAAAGACATGTTCACGAGGGCCAGCACGACAGCGCAGCTGCGGATCGGAGCAGCAACCTGCTTGTCGCAATTCTCGAACAGCATGCAATTGGGGTACGCGTCGTCCCCGAAGATTATGAACTTGCAGCCAGGGTCCTCTCACGGGTGCAGTCACTGAAGGGACAGAAACGATGACCAGGACCATGACCAAGATTGAACGCGGAAACGTTGAGGCTCGTCTTGTTAATCGTCCATCTTGGCCATCGTCAGTTCGTGGAGCATCCTCGCGAACTCTTCCCTCGAAAACCGTCCAGAACGCCAAAAACACACAAAATAAAAAGAAGCAGACCGCAACGAAAACAGACTCCGGCCTCGATCCTGCGCTGCCTGAGCCGCTCGGACTGCCCCGGCAGACAGCCGGCGAGGGCTGGGGCCCGAAGAGGGCGAGCGAGGCTGGAAGCCAGCACACGCGGCCCCGGCAGCGGGGAGATGTAGGACTCGAGCTAAAGGTTGTGGATGTCACGACAATGGAAACCCTGACGGTCCTATCATTGAATGTAAAATGTGTTGAAATTGAAAAAATGTTCTGAGCAGGATTTAAACATGTTTTTTTCCCTACCTAGGCTCTGCCTAGAAGGGTTCTTACTCGGTGTGCTTAAAGGGCCGGGCAGTGGAACGCGCCCCGGGCGGTTCCCCCAGTATCCGCCCCGCGGTTCCCCCAGTTACGTCCCCTTAGCTTAGCGTTGCTTATCTCATCTTAGCTTAGCTTATTTCATCTTAGATTAGCTTAGCTTCATCTTAGCTCAGGTTTATCTTAGCTAGCTTACCTTAATATTAGCCTCGCCGAGCTTTAGCATAGCAGAGCACAGCATAGCATAGCATAGCATAGCGTAACACAGCATAGCGCAGCAAAGCATATCATTGCATAGCATAGCATAGCAAAGCGCAGCATAGCATAGCATAGCTTAGTATAGCGCAGCACAGCACAGCACGGCATAGCATAGCACAGCGCAGCATAGCATAGCATAGCAGAGCAGAGCATAGCGTAGCATAGCACAGCGCAGCATGGCATAACATAGCTTTGCATAGTATATCATAGCATAGCATAGCATAGCATAGCATAGCGCAGCATAGCATAGCATAGCATAGCATAGCATAGCGCAGCCTTAGCATGGCATAACATAGCATAGCATGTCATAGCAAATAATGCTGCTTTCCGAGGGGCTCCAGATTCTAGGTAGGGTCGCACTGGGGTAACTAATTCCATGCTCAAAAAACATTACAACACATGTTTCAGACATCTGGAAATTCATTGGCAACATGCTTCCTCTCCATTAATCGTCCTCCACAAGCTAAAGGGACCTGAACTTGTCAAGCGGAGCCGTCGGACAAATGACGACCTACACGTTGTCTCGAGACTTTGAGCGAGCTTCCGCCGCAGACTTCTCGCGAAAACTGGACCGTCCGAATTCACGCAAGGACTGTCAAAAAGCAGCGGCAAACCCCCGCGTTCCGGCAAGTTCGATTCTTGCGTTTCCCAAAGGGTAGAGAGACGACGTCGAGCATGCCAGGCGGAGGACGTGACAGGATCGATCCTCGATCGAACCTCGTTCCTCCATCCGTCGAGGATCCGAGTTTTCGAGCGCCCAGAGCCGTTGACTGCCTCCCTGGAGGCCTCTGGAGGCCTCCCGAGTTCTCGGGGGGACAATCCGGAGACCTCCAGAGGCCCGAGGGGGGTGTGGGCCGGATGTGAAGGAGGTCGGAGGGGGCGGGAAGAGGAGGGAGGATGTGGGCAGAGGTGGGCGGAGGTGGGCGGAGGGGGGCGGAGGTGGGAGGTGGCTCTGGAGTCTCCGGAAGTCTGGATGGGGGGGGAGAACGAAGGAAAGAAGCAGGCAGGCAGGGAAAGAAGAGAACGAAGGAGAGGGGGGAGGGGGAACGGGAAGGGAAAGAGAGGGAAAAGGGAGAGGGGACAGGGGGACGGGGACGGAGACGAGGAAGGGGAGGGAGAGAGAGAGAGGGACGAAGACAACCACCACGTGTGCCTGGCCCCTCGAGCCTGCGGAGAGGAGCGCGCCGCGTGCTGCAGCACTCTGAAGGCCGGAGGCCAAGGGCACAATCCGCCGGGTGTTGGGATCTCCCATGCCCATCCCCGACGCGGCGCCACGCGGAGTGTGCGGCCTGCCGCCGTCGGCTGGGAAATGTTGTCGCTCCCTGGGAGAAAGGAGGAGGAGGAGGAGGAGGAGGAGGGAAGAAGAGGAGGAGGAGGGAAGAGGAGGAGGAGGAGGAGGAGGAGGAGAGGACGGAGGAGGAGGAAGAGGAGGAGGGGGGAGGAGAAGGAGGAGGAGGGAGGAGGGGAAGGAGGAGGGAAGGAGGGAGGAGGGGGAGGAGGAGGAGGGCGGAGGGCGGAGGACGAGGAGGAGGAGGAGGAGGAGGAGGAGGAGGAGGAGGAGGAGGAGGAGGAGGAGGGAGGAGGAGCAAAGGGGGCGGCGGGGAGCGCAGGAGCGGAGGCCGGGGGAGGCGGGCGCGTGCCGCCCGCCGCCCGGGGGCGGGTGGCGCTCCTCGTTGCATCTTTTCCTGCAGTGTCCGATGCCCCCGATGTCCTCGGAGCCTCCACGCTGCGGCGGAGGCGAAAAGATCATCATCATCATCATCAGCAGCAGCAGCATCATCAGAATCATCATCACTACCAGCAGCAGCATCATCGTCATCATCAGCATAATTATCATATCAGTTCATGACACAGCATAACATATCACATCATAGCACAGCATGGCATGACATATCATGCCATATCATATAGTAGCACATCATGTCATGGCATATTATATCATGTCACATCATATCGTGGCATTGCATATCATGTCATATCATAACATGGCATATTATACCATATCAGATCATACAATATCATATCATGACATACCATATCAAATCATAACATAGCATGTCATGTCATATCATACCATATTATAGCATCATCAGCAGCAGCAGCATCATCATCATGATCAGCAGCAGCCTCATCATCATCAGCTTCATCAGCATCATCATCATCATCAGCAGCAGCAGCATCAGCATCATCATCATAAGCAGCAGCAGCAGCATCAGCAGCAGCATCGTCCCCATTCATATCACCAGCAGCATCATCATCAGGCCGATCGATAGCAGCATCAGGGTGTGGCACAGATGAGGAATCCACCGATCCCTTGGGGTCACGGAGTGTGAGATGCTTCCCGCTCCCCAAACCCCTCCCCCGGGAGCCCGGTCTGGTCGGTTTGGAAGGGGGGGGCAAAGGTGTCGGCCGCACCCTCGAAGCCTCAGGGGGCTCCAAAGCGGGCCAAGAGGGCCCCAAAAGGCCCCCCGGACGGTCCAAGAGGGCTACAAGTCGCCGAAAGATCGCTCCAAGACGCCCAAGATCGCCTCTAGACGGTCCCAGAGGCCACCAAGACGCCCTAAGAAGCCACCCAGAGGCGTCCCAAGAGGCCTTCCAGAAGCAAAGATCGTCCCACTCCCTGGGGAAAACGTATATTTTTCGCACATTCGCCTCTAGGGCTTTCACAAGGCCCACAACGGCCCCAGAAACCTTTAATTTCGACCCAAGATAGCCCAAGAGGCCCCCAAGAGGGCTCCAAGACGGCCCAAGAGGGCCCCAAGATGGCCCCAGAAGCTTCCAAAACGACACAGGAGAGCCCCAGGACGGTTCCACGAGGAGGCCCAGAGGGGGAACCCGAATGAACATTTCGAGCACTCGGCCCCGAAAAAACCTGAGGAGGCGCCAATAGGCCCCCAAGAGGCTCCCACGAGGCCCCCGAGAGGCCCAAAAGAGGCTCCTAGAGGCCTCAAAACGACTCTCAAGAGGTCTCAAAAGTGCTGCCAGGAGAGCCCAGAGAAGCCCAAGAGCAGAGCGGCGCTCCACCAACCGCCCCCGACGAAATCCCAAGAAGCTGAAACCCCAAGATTCCCCAGAAATCGTTCCGCAAACACCGTTTTTCACTCTTACTGCCGCCCCAAGGGGTCGGCGGTGCGGCGTCAGCCAATGAATCACGACATCCCCGCCCCTAGTCCCCCAGGAGAAAGAAGACACATCGCCTTTCAGCTCTCCCTCTCGTGTGGTGCTGGTCCGCCAGCTCCGTGCGGCGAAAGAGAGGATGAGGAGAGACAGGACAAAAAGCGCGCCACCACACGAGCGCGACCAGTGAACCCCGAGCTCAACAGGCCTGTGAATGGCACATAGGCACTCCATGGTTTGAATGAGCCGTTCATGCTCTCTCTCTCTCTCTCTCCCTCGCTTTTTCCCTCTCACCCTGCCCCCCTATCATGATGTTGATGTGAGCCTCAAGCCAGTCAACAGACCAAAATTCACGACAAAGGGGAAGAAAGGAGACGCGACATAGCCCCGCATGAGGGACCCCCATTGTGATCAGGGTGCCTCTCTCGCTGCTGAAGGCAGCTTGACTTGGGGGGCTTGCATTCACACGCTAGCCTCGACACTGCACCAATCTACAGGGTGCTGATTCAATACCCTGTCTGGCGTGGCAATATCAGACATACTAGCAGCAGTAACCGCACTCGCTTTAGCAAACTGGCTGGCAAATGATTATATGAGCACTAGAAGCTGGGGCAATAGTAGCAGTCGTAGCCGTAAGAGCGGTCGTGAATGGCAGTAGACAACGCAGCAGACACGGCAGCAACTCAAAAAACACTACCGTGCGTGATAGTCACCCTAATACGGATACCAAGAATATTGGTTTGAATAGGTGCCGCGAAAAGTGTTGCATAGTAAGAGCACTAGTACAAGGCATCGTGCGCGCACGTACTACTGGTAGTAGCATGAAAAGCTGCAAAAGCGAACAGCAATAGTACGCGTGGTAACCAGAACAGTAGCAAGACGCGTCGAATCAACACGTGAAGCATCGCTGACACAACTACATATCATGTTGAGCCACGACTGCTACTGCCTCACTAATGTTGGCGGAGAGCGAGGGAGGGAAGTGAGAAGGAGAAGACCTTCTCAGAAGGCGGCATGACTTCTGAAGCCCTCGCACCTTAGAAGTCTTATGTGTCTTCGGAAAAGGTTTAGAAAACTTCTCAAAGGCTGGGGGACTTCCGAGCCTTCTGAGAAGGCCCGCTCCTTCTCACTTGCCCCCCCCGCCCCTTCTCACTTGCCCCCCTCGCTCGCCACCGACAGTGGTACTACCACTGCTACTGCTGGTCGACAGCAGCATCGGCCAGAGCCGACCGAAACCCAAACGGCCCCGCGCCCCCCCCGACCCGGCTCTTCGCGCGGGGCACGCGAGCTTACAGCTGCGGTGGCAGAACCGCGGCAGACCAGACAGAATTGCTGTTTGCATCGCATCTGCACCAAATCTGGCGGCACAGGACCTGCCCGGCCCATGGAGGAGCACCACAAAAACCAACCTGGAAGCCATCGGAGCTGCTCCACCGCTGGCGACACCCTCGAGGGCGTTCAGGAGCGAACATCGGAGAACCGTTGTCTGCCCGAGCCTGAGCAGCAAAAAGGGTCGACCACCCCCCCATGCGTTTGCGTATCTGCCAGAGGGCCAAAGGCAAATCAACAGCCAAAACCTTCCCATGTCTGAAGGGCGTTCAAGAGCGAGCATCGAAGAACCCCGTCCACGCTGCCAATTCTCGGTGGCCAGGACTGGCGAGGCTGGCAGTGGTCTTCTCCAAGCCTGCCTCTGCACAGACGCGGGGCAGGGGCCCCCACCCAGCAAACGCCCGCGGGTGAGCCTGGGAGAGCCCGAGCCAAACACCAGGTCCCCGTGATGGCTGGGGTGCGCACGAAGGAGGAGCCGGTCTGGTGCCAAGCCTGGCATTGCAAGGCCAGTCGTTGGTTGGATCACCCCGGGGCTTACCAAGGGAATACGCAGTTGATTGGATCACCCCGGGGCTTGCCAAGGGAATACGCAGGGGAGGTGCAACTGGATTCTGAGTTGGATGGTGGGATGCATCTGGCCTAACCTAGCTTAGCCTCCCTAAGCCATTCCGCAACTTATTTGTAGGCTAGGATTTGCCTGACATCACCCACCAAAGCATCCGCTCATCACGCCCGTCCCCGCGCAGCAAGCCCCCCGCGGTGATCCGAGTGGGGACGGCAGGGGGCCCTGCAGGCCAGAGAAGGGGCCAGATACCCTCCGAATGAAAAAAAGCTTATGAACTCTACCCCAAGCAGTGTTTACACTTGTCTGTTCGTGCTTGTTTTACGGAGGAACGCCCCGTGGTCGCCCGTGGCCGCCCCGTGGCCGCCCGTGACTGCCCGTGGCCGCCCCTGGCCGCGTGACCGCGCCGGGGCCGCCCGTGACCGCGCCCCGTAGCCGCCCGTGGCCGCCTCCGCCTCGTGCACCGGGTGTGCCCAGCGAGGTTCCGCCACGTGGGCGCCCCGTGGCCGCCTCGCGGCCGCCTCGTGCGCTGGGTGGGTCTGGCGAGGCTTCGGCGCGTGGGCGCCCCGTGGCCGCCTCGTGCGCTGGGCGGGTCCGCCGAGGTTTCGCCACGCTGCCGCCCGTGGCCGCCTCGCCGCCGCCCACCGCGCTTGGGGGGCCCGCCGAGGCTGCGCAGCGTTGCCGTCCGTTGCCGCCCACTGTCGCATCGCCGCCGCCTCTGGCCTGCACCGCGTGTGCTGCACCGCCGGGCCTACACCACTCGGGGATGGACAGACCTCCCTTTAGTAAGACGTGGTTTAGTGAAAACGACCTGAGGCCCAAACCTGGCGGGCGCAGGCCTGGAAAATAACGGCCACGGCGCCCTCTCGAGAACCGAAAACGGACAATTCACTAATCGACGTGTCATTGTTGGAGGTCCTGTCCACCCCCGAACCACATAGCCTGCACCACATGGTCTGCACATCCGCGCTGCAACCACTTCCCGCCTGGGGTCGGCGCTGGCCACCGCTCTCAGACCGAGTGGCCCGGCCGCCGCGAGGCCGCGGCGCCCGCCGAGCAGCGCAGCGCGGCCGAGGCCGTGCTGCGCAGAGGGAGCACGGGCACAAGCACGCGTGCGGGCAGGTCCGCCCTCCTCTGGGGGGGGGGGGGGGGGGGGCGAAGGGTACTGGTGCAGTCATCGCTCGGAGGCCAACACGATCGCCAACGCGATCTTCACGTGCGCCGCGCCCCCCTAGATGAGGCAGCCGAGCACCCCCATTGCGCGGGCACGGAGCCATGAACAAGTCGAATCGGCCGCGCCCAGATGCACCGCATCGCCACGCAAGCATCGGGCCGCATCTGATCGTCGGACAATCGATATAGAGTCGGATCGGGCAGGCCGAAATCGCCACCGCATCGGACCGTTGGAGGATGGCAAAGTGGCACCAGTGCCAGCGCAGAGGGCTGTCTGCACCGGAGGAGGGGGGTGATCTTAGACTCTGGTGCTGATGGTAATCCGTCCTCCACCGACGCAGCCCGAATCCTACCACCATGACTGAGATCGGGATCGTCTAGCCCTCGGGTTTCTTAGCAACAGAAACTTCAAATCGAGATGGACCCTGGCGGGCCCCGTTCCGGTCGGCAAGCCTTCCTGTCTCCGCGCCAGGATCCCCGAGGAGGCCCGCGGGAGCCGGCCGCGGAACGAGGACCGGGCGGAGCTGCGTGACGGGCCGGCGCACGGCCCACCGCCATGCTTGCCCGACAGCTTGTAATCGAAGTCGGACTCGCCTCCGGGCACCAGTCCTCCTCCTACTCCTCCTCCTCCTCCTCCTCCTCCTCCTCCTCCTCCTCCTCCTCCTCCTCCTCCTCCTCCTCCTCCCTCCTCCTGCTCCTCCCCCTCCTCCTCCCGCTCCTCCTCCTCCACCTCCTCCTCCTCCTCCTCCTCCTCCTCCTCCTCCTCCTCCTTCTCCTCCTCCTACTACTCCTTCTCCTACTCCTATTAACATTCCTACTAATTGTCCTATTCCTGTTCCACCTCGTCCTCCTCCTATTCCCATCATCATCATCATCATCATCATCATCATCATCATCATCATCATCATCATCATCATCATCATCATCATCATCATCATCATCATCATCATCATCATCATCATCATCATCATCATCACATCAGCCAGCATCAGCATCATCATCATCATCATCATCATCATCAGCATCATCATCATCATCATCATCATCATCATCATCATCATCATCATCATCAGCATCTTCATCATCATCATCATCATCATCAGCATCATCATCATCACCATCATCATCATCATCATCATCATCTTTACCATCCGATTCCTCCTCCTAATCATCCTCCTATTCCTCATCTTCCTCCTCCTGCTCAACATCAGCCTCATCCTCATCATCCATTCGCTCCGCCTCCTCCTCCTCCTTCTCCTCATCCTCCTCCTGCTCATCCTCCTCCTCATCATCTTCCTCCTCATCTTCCTATTCCCATTTCGAATCATATTTCTACGCATAGTCATTTTCATATTCCTCTTTCACTTCATCATCAACATCATCATCATCATCATCATCATCATCATCATCATCATCCTCAGCATCCACCTCCTCCTCCTCCGTCTCCGCCTCATCTTCCGCGTGCTCCTCATCCTCATCTCCATCCTCATCCTTGCGAGTCCTGTGTCTAGTCCGATTCCTATTCCTGCTCCTCTTCCTATTCCTTGTCCTAGTCCTAGTCCTCTGATTATTATTCCAACTCCTGATCGTCCTCCTCATTCTCCTCATCCTCATCTTCCTTACATTCCCATTCCTGACCATATTATCAGTCCTATCCATATTCATGCTCATAATCTGAGTCCTACTACTATTCATATTCCTAATGATGGTCCTAGTCTTCCTACTTCTCTTCCTCCTCGTCCTCATCCTCGTCCTCCGCCTCGTCCTCCTCATCCTCATCCTCCTCCTCATCCGCCTCCTCCTCCTCCTCCGAATCCTCCTCCTAATCCTCCTCTCATTCCGCCTCCACTTGTCCTCCTCCTCGTCATCATCTTCATCCCCCTCCTCCTCCGCCTCCTCCTCCACTCTCATCAGCATCCTTTCTCCTTCTCCTCCTCCACCTCATCATCATCATTTGAGTCCTGTTCCTATCTGTACTCCTATTCATAGTCCCATTCCTATTACTATTCCTAGTCCGGTGCATCTTCCTATTCCTATTCCCGTTTCTAGTCAGCATCCTCCTCCTCTTCCACCTACTTATCCGCCTCCTCCTCCGCCTCCTCCTTTTCCTCTTCTTCCTCCTCTTCCTCGATTCTTGGCACGACCGCCACTCCTCCCTCTCCTCCTCCTCCTCATCCTCCTCCTCATCCTGCTCCTCATCCTCCTCATCCTCCTCAGCCTCATGAACAACAACAGCAACAACAACAGCAGCAACAACAACAACATCAACAACAATAACAACAAGGTCGACACGTACATTGCCCACCCGTCCACGGCCCGACAGTCCACGCCTTCACCCACTGGGCGAACACGTGGACTGACGACCCGTGCACCCACTGCCCCCTCCCCCAACACCAACACCAACACCAACACCAGTTCCATAGAAGCTCTACAAAATCCTATAAGATCTCTACGGAATCCTGTCAGCTCCGTATGGAATTCTATAGGCTCCGTATGGAATCCTATAGGATCCCTGTGGAATCCCATAGGAACCCCATGGTCACCGTGGCTCTGAGACCACCCCTACGCACCTCCACGTATTCCTACGACCGGAAGCGATGTGCGCACCGGCGAAGCGACCTTCGGGCATCCTTCGGAATCCGAGCAGAATCCCAAGAATCCCGAAGGAATCCCTGGGAAATCCCTGGGGGATCCTAGGATCCTATGCAGATCCTACACGCCCTGTATGGAATCCTATACAGAGCCTACACGGCCTGCGCGGGATCCTATACACAGCCTACACGGTTTGTGTGGGATCCCATACTGAGCCTACACGTCCTGTATCGGATCCCATACAGAGCCTACACGCCCTGTATGGGATCCTACACAAAGCCTGTACGCCCTGCATGGGATCCTATGCAAAGCCTACACGTCCTGTATGGGATCGTGTACAGAGCCTACACGCCCTGCTTGGGATCGTGTACAGAACCTACACGGCCTGCACGGGATCCGATACAGAGCCTACACACCCTATACGGGATCCTATACAAAACCTACACGGCCTGTACAGGATCCTATGCAGAGCCTACACGGCCTGTGTGGGATCCTATACAGAGCCTACACGCCCTGTATGGGACTATAACAGCCTACACGGCGTGTACGGGATCCTGTACAGAGCCTACACGGCCTGTGGGATCGTATACGGAGCCTACACGGCTTGTATAGAATCCTATAAGAACCCTACCTACACGGCCTGTCCGGGATCCTATACAGAGCCAACACGCCCTGTATGGGATCCTATACGGGGCCTACACGTCCTGTACGGGATCCTATACAGAGCCTACACGCCCTGTAAAGGGTCCTGTACAGAACGTATACGCCCTGTATGGGAATCTATACAGAGCCTACACGCACTGTGTGGGATCCTATACAGAGCCTACACGTCCTGTATGGGATCCTGCACAAAGCCTACACGCCCTGTATGGGATCCTATACAAAGCACACACGGCCTGCTTGGGATCCTATACGGGGCATACACGCCCTGTATGGGATCCTATAAAGAACCTACACGCCCTGTACGGGATCCTACACACGGCCTACACGCCCTGCTTGGGATCGTGTACGAAGCCTACACGGCCTGCACGGGATCCTATACAGAGCCTACACGGCCTATATGAGATCCTATAAAGACCTACACGGCCTGTACGGGATCCTATACAGAGCCTACACGGCCTGCGGGATCCGATACAGAGCCTACACGGTCTGTATGGGATCCTATACAGAGCCTACACGGTCTGCTTGGGACCCTATACAAAGCCTACACGGCTTGTGTGGGATCCTATACAGAGCCTACACGGCTTGTGGGATCCTATACACAGCCAACACGGCCTGTGTGGAATCCCATACTGAGCCGACACGCCTTGTATAGGGTCCTATACAGAGCCTGCACGGCCTGTAGCGGATCCTATTCACAGCCTACACGGCCTCTATGGGATCCTAGTCTGAGCCTACACGCCCTGTATGGAATGCTATCCAGAGCATACACGGCCTGCTTGGGATCCTTTACAGAGCCTACACGGCCTGTGTGAGATCCTACACAGAGCCAACACGGCCTGTATGGGATCCTACACAAAGCCTACACGACCTGTAGTAGTAGTAGTAGTAGTAGTAGTAGTAGTAGTAGTAGTAGTAGTAGTAGTAGGTAGTAATTAGGAGGTAACAGGTAGGAGGTAGGAGGTAGTAGGTAGCAGGTAGCAGGTAGTAAGTAGTAAGTAGTAGGTAGTAGGTAGTAGGTAGTAGTAGTAGTAGTAATAGTAGTAGTAGTCGTCGTCGTCGTCGTCGTCGTCGTCGTCGTCGTCGTCGTCGTCGTCGTCGTCGTCGTCGTCGTCGTCGTCGTCGTCGTCGTCGTCGTCGTCCTCGTCCTCGTCGTCGTCGTCGTCGTGGTCGTCGTAGTCGTCGTCGTCGTAGTGGTCGTAGAAGTAGCGGTAGTAGTAGTAGTAGTAGTAGTAGTAGTAGTTGTTGTAGTAGTTAGTAGTTAGTAGTTAGTAGTTAGTAGTTAGTAGTTAGTAGTTAGTAGTTAGTAGTTAGTAGTTAGTAGTTAGTAGTAGTTAGTAGTTAGTAGTTAGTAGTTAGTAGTTAGTAGTAGGTAGTAGTAGTTCGTAGTAGTAGTAGTAGTAGTAGTAGCAGTAGCAGTAGTAGCAGTAGTAGTAGTAGTAGTAGTAGCTAGTGGTTAGTAGTTAGTAGTTAGTAGTTAGGAGCTAGTAGTTAGTAGTTAGTAGTTAGTAGTTAGTAGCTAGTAGTTAGTAGTTAGCAGTTAGCAGTGAGTAGTTAGCAGTTAGTAGTTAGTAGTTAGTAGTTAGTAGTTAGTAGTTAGTAGTTAGTAGTTAGTAGTTAGTAGTTAATAGTTGGTAGTTAGTAGTTAGTAGTTAGTAATAGTAGTAGTAGTAGTAGTAAAAGTATTAAGGGCTCCTACGGGGAAGAGCTTAAGGATGCGCTCAGAGCCACGGCCACCATAGGGACCATATAAGAGTCCTATAGGATCCCATCGGGATCCCATCGGGCACCATATGGATGTCTATATGATTCCAGACGTATCCTATAGGATTTCACAATGATCTGATAGGGGTCCTACAGGATCACATGCGGGTCCTGTAGGATACCATAGGGAACCTCCAGGATTCCATAGGGACCATACAGGACTCCTGGAGGATTCCCTTGGGACATTCCAAGATTGCATCGGGATCCTGTAGGACTCCTATAGGGTTCCATGGGGATCATATAAGGATTCGCAAAATTCCAAAAGAGAGTTCCACGGATCCCCATGGAACCAGGTAGGATCCCATATGGCATCATACAGGATATCAATGTAATCCTATAGGATCCCCATGGAACCTATAGGATCCCTATGGCATTCCTCTAGGATCCCTATGGAATACAAGAGGTTCCCGATGGAATCGTACAGAATTCCCAAATATCCTATAGGACCCTTGTGGAATCCTATGGGACAGCAACACCAACACCCCAACAACCCCGTGGGGCAACTGCAGGGGCCCCACGGGGCTGTTGGGGTGTTGGTGTTGGTGTGGGGGGGGTACGGGTGGTCAGTGCACGTGTCC